GACATTAATCAGCCAGGAATCATGTTAACAGGAGTCAAGACTGCTGCGTTTTAGCATGAACTAACAGATTACCATTTAGAATGATAACTTGGGGGTGAGAACCAGTTTACAACTGAATGCTCAATGTAAATTAGAAACTGTATTCAAAATAGACACCAGGTTTGTGGATAAAGGAAAAAATTCAAACGAACCAGAGAACATTCACAGTCAGAATACACACTGCCTGGAATAATTTTAAGGGGAATAAAACAGTATTTTCAGAACCAAGTTGCCACAGGAAGAAGAGGTATGGAAAAGTGAAAGTCAAGATGAAAGCAATAATTATGTCTTATCTGCCTTTTCGCATTTTTCCTGCCCTTTCTTATGGGCCACACTTGTGTAAATAGAATTCAACCTGCATCCCTGCATTTTAACAAAAATATTCACCAGAATTAAAAGCCTAAACAACTTTTACCCCTTAGAAAACAGCAAGTTTATGAGCAGAAGCATGACTTGTACAGTTCTGGATGAACAGGACAACAAAAGGGGAACAGTAAAGGAAGAGAAGTGGATGTAAAAAACAGAGGGATCAGAAGAAAAAAAATATCCAACACATGAAGCACCATTTATTGCAAGAGTCAAGTTTTGGGCCCACCTACAGATGTCGTTGCATCTCAAATGCTGTCAGAAAGCCCATCAAAAACACTCTTCTCCTATTATTAGTAAATACCTCTGAGCTTAATAAGCATAAACAGGATCACCAGTCCCATGACAGGCTTAAGTAGGCTCCTTAGCTGTATTCAGCTCTCCCAATTCTATACACACATGTATCTATATCCATCTACCAAGTAGATTTAAACTCTACAGACATACATACACATAAGCACATAAAAGCTTTTATTTCATTATACAAGAGAACAATACTGATATATTTTGTTACCATTCTTGGAAGATATGAACAAAATATCTGTTTTCAATAAGGAAAAAATCAAACCCCTGATGTAGCTAAAAAGCACAATAACGTTAATTTTACACTGGTAAAAGCTTCGTTTAATTACAAGAGTCCTTCATTTAGGATACTGTCTCCATATTAGTTTTATTTATTGCTTTTAATTTGGCATGCATTAAAAGTTTAATTCATGTGTTTAAACACTTTACCATAGAACAGAGCAATTATGAGGAAGAAATGAAAACCAAAAGGCCAATGCCCACTGATCACCATCTTCTAACTGCAGGGACACACGTTTTTATCTTCAAGTGGGGATTTTGGTTTTGGGGAGGGGGGGTGGTGTTTGGGTTTTTGTTGGTGGGGTTTTTTTTGTTGGTGGTGGTTTGGGTTTTCCCCCTGCCCCCAAACCCCACCTCTTTTATATAACACCAGCAAGTGTTATGCACTCTCCCTCCCAAGTTCTACAAATGTCATTCCTTCCTGTGTTCTCCTTCCCCAATATCCTATATATGTTCCCCTTTTGGGGGAAAATCTCTCTCTCTCTGTTATGCAATTCTCTCCACTTCAAGTTATGATCTCCTGCAAGATAAGTCAAAAGCACAGTAAATCTGCTGCTTTCAACACCTTAAATTCAGAACTCTTTTAGCCAGACCAAGACTTAACTGTAACATCATCACTGCAGCATGCTGATTTTATCTTGACATAAATGTATCACTAGAGCCCAGCACTTTTAGTGCAGTAAAACTATATACACGGCTTGATGTTCTTTATAAACAAAATGTGTAATGCAACAAATGGGAGTGCTCATTCACAAAAAAAGGAGAAAAACATAAATAAAGATTACAAAGACAAAGGTTCTAAACAGCTTTTTAAAAAAGGCTGCATCTTAATCAGAGTTCTTGAACGCATTAAAAAACCCCCTCTCTTCCTTTTTATCTTACTTCTGGTCCTCAATACAGGAAAATGCATTTTCAGGGGAGAAAGACATCTTTCCCCCATTCTATACAGTAAGTTACTTTCACTGCCCAGTTCATCTCTCCTTTTCCCTGGGCACATACTCTCTCTTCCTCAGTCCTCATTCCACATGACAAACTGGTGGAAATTATACTGCAGGTATTTTGTATCCTCTCAAAAATTCACCCATTGCCTTCCCCAGAACAACTACTCCCTCCAGCTGCACTGCACTAACTACTGCTCCAGCTGACTGCAGAAAGACAATTGTTTCTGTCGGACCGCTTTAGTATACAAAAGGCTGGAAAAGCACCCGTGCTCCAGTCTCCAACAAAGACTTTATCAATGGATTTCCAAAAATCAAAACAGAAAAGTGACAGGAGCACAGTGATAAAGTCAACAAAAACATTGGAAACACTCAATGTTCTCAGTTAACCCAGACAGATGAGGCTTCATAATACAGTTAGTGCACCACAAAGCATGGAGCTTGCCTAAAAAAGCAATTAAGAGTTGGTATGTAGCTCAGTACAAATTTACTCCTGATATTAATTATAACTTTTGATTTAAAAGAATACAAAGAGAAAATTATTTCCAACATTCTTGCCTCAAATTTGTTTAGGTTTCATTTGCTGAGTCTAGATAAACAAATATCTTTGCTTACAGAAATAAAACAGAAGGAAATTGAGAAAAATGCTGAGAAAAATTAAGGCTGACAAAATAAAAAAATAAGAAACAGAACTACTTAAAAAAACCACCAAAACTTCTTTAAAGGATACCTCAGATAAACAAGCTGTTTGAGAAAGGTTAACAAAACATCATATTTCATTAAAAAACCCAAGAAATTTTGCTATGTGATTTCAGAAAAATTTCAAGCCCCTATCTTAGCAGTAGTATTGGTTCTGTTTTTCTGAAAAAAAAAAAAAAATCACAAATAAGAACTTTTTCTTTCCCCCTTCTATGCTCTGTGGAGTATTGGGTGGCACTCAGGATGACCGAAGGTGAAGTTCAAAGGGACACTTTTTCCTATTTATCCACATAAGCCAGTCATGCCATCTGTTCTGTTTTGCCGTACTGCTGAAAACTGATATACTCCTGTTTTGTTGCATCTTCCTTGTTTGAACCCATGATTTTTCAGTAATGACAGTTTCCCAAATGGTTTAATCCATGTCAGAAGTATTTGGGGAAAATATGACTAAAAACCACTGCCTGATGATATTCACGTTTTCATAAATCTGTGATGTGGTTATCATTGGAAATGGCCATGTGTTTAGCATTAGAGTCAAAACAGGTGCAAGAATGGTTTACGAACAAAGGTCTAAAGGTTAAAAGCAAAAAAAGTGTTATCCCATTTTATGTTCTCCCGTTCTGCTACAAAGAGGTTGAAAACAGTTAAAGATTTACCAAAACTCTTCTGTACAGCACTATTTTTCTGTTAATACATTTATATTCTAGAAATGAAAAGGCTTTATTCTTAATTGAGCTTCACAAACAAAGATGAAAACACATTTAAGTTTTCTACTTAATAGCACACACATGGCGATTGTGAAATGCTGTCTATAATCTTTCCAGTTTAAACTAGCCCGCAGTCGAGTACCATTAGCAAAAAGTACTGGATTTTTACTGTGTGGTTTAGAGGATTTTTCCACTAGCTAGAGAAGCATTCCCTAAGTTTTTTATGCAGCTACTTGGCATGCATTCCTGTTTATTTAATTTGAAAATATTATTTAAATAACAACATTGTGCTTTCAATTTATTTATTTTTGGCCTATTTTCACATCTTAGGAAACCTCGTCTTGCCTCGTCCCGAGGCAATGGTGGTTTGAATATTGTCAATACAAAAGAACAGTCAATACTAGAGCAGAGCAGAGAAAGTGAAAGGAACATGTATTGTGCAACTGCCATATCAGGCTGCTTGTTTAAGCACCAGATTAACTGCCAGCTATCAACACAGAGCAGACTGTCATATATATTATTTTAACAACAATGGAAGTATCTGCAAACCAAATCCACCCTGCCCTGTACCTCAGTTAAGGATGTCTCCTGCGGTGTCCTTGACAGTAACTTTAGGACAATTCTAATTCATAAGGATCCTTACAACAGACCATGTAGAAGGAGGGATGGTTTCATGGTTTGCAGCTACTTCCCGTTCCTTTCCAACTGGTAAATATTTCCAGTCCTGTGTAGGCCTAAGTACCTGTGGATAGCTAGGGAACTGTGTCCACATGCCTCGATTTTCCAAGAGCATATGGCTGAAAACAGGAATTTGAAGGGCAAAGAGAACAGACTGTTGGGATCGGTTTTTGTTTTGGTTTGGTTTTTTTAAATCTTTTTTCCTAATACATGTTCAATTTCTTCTCCTGAAGTCTGGTCCACCAGACCACTGATTCACTGACTTTCAAAAAAAAATATGTAATGCTTATGTGGTTTCAGAAGAATCTGAAATACCTGTGCGCTAAACACAGTATATTTGAGTTTTACGTCATGACTGATCTTGTAAATGAACGCAGTAGTTTATGACAAAAATACTAAAGGCATTCAACTTCCTTAAACTATGAAAGAGATAAAAATGACCACAACACTTTATTTTTGTACACATTCAAAACAAAATAACACGATATGAGAGGATTAAATAGGCACGCTCCGACAGTAATCTCGCCAATTAAGTGTTCAAAAGAAATAATGCAAAACCCATACAAATAAAAGATGACTGCAGATACATGAATCAAACATAGAAATAATGTAGGTTCTAATAGAAATAAGGTCTGTATCAGCAGATTTTTAAACATATCTAGCAAGTAAACAAAAATCCTCACTAAATCAATGGTTCCATTGCTTCTGTTAAAAGGTATTTTGGAAAATTCCTAGAATACAAATTCTTCTAAACTAAAAATTCCTTCAAAGGAACAGTAAATGTGTTCAGAAAGTGTTTTTGTTCCCTAAGTAATTGGAAATACATCAAGTATTTACCAAAAAGCCCTGCCACTTCAGCAAAAATTCTCTTACATGAGATTTTCTGCTGTAACAAACTGCTTTGTGAATACCCAATTTACAAAGGAAGTTGCCGCAACTGAGTAATCTGGATGTAATTTTCTTTTGATAAAAAGACTAAAAAGCATCTTACCTCTTTTTCATGCATTCGAAATAGTGCCTGTTCATCACGAAAAGGGCTACTTTTTCCTAGGCCAATTTTGGGTGTCATCTATTGAATAAGAAAGTTCAAAACAACTCAAGTTCAAAGCAGTAACTCCAAGTAAAATCAATCCTAACCAGAAATGAAAAATATTAAGCATGTTTGTTCACCCTCATGAAACATCAAGGGAATATAAATACCTACCAAAGACACTGGCATCGGTTTTTCCCGCAAATATCTTGGATTTTCTAACTGAAAAACAAGTTAGAGAAAAGTAATGATGTCAACAATGTCTTATTATTTTTTTTTTTTTTTTACAAACAGTAAGAAATATCTCCAAATATTAGAAAAAGTTTGCAATGACAACTTTGGTGCATGCTTTGAGAATTCATCTGTATTAGTGAGGGTGTACTTAATACACTAACTGTACCACTCAAAAGAACAAAAATAAAACAGATTTAAACAGAGCTTCAGATGTACACACCCGGTTCAAGAACTGCTTTCCACTAGAAAATTTGATTATCTATAAATACATAGTTAATTTTAAAAATATCAATACAGCACCATCTCTAGATACACGGCTGTAACCTAGAAGTAACACAAGTAATTTTCCTGTGCATAATTCTTTCTCCTTTAGAACATTTCAGTGATCCTTAAGAAAAGCACTCAGCAGAGCACAAAGGTCCAGATAACATACCGCCATTTTTACAAGTTAGAGAAATAGAAAACCTTCATAAGAAATCATTTTGTTGGACATGACCTACTCAGCAAGTTTTAAAATTTTAGTGTTTCCTAATGCAAATTGGGATCAAAAATTGCACTTTTTTTTCCAAACCCTTGCCGTTGTAAAAATTCTGTCAATGCATGGTTTCAAAGAATTTGGCAGCTAAATACTTATTAATACTTAAATATCTTATGCAAAAGATTTCCAACTTTATTGGATAAACTTTCATTTACATCAGGGTAAAGCTAAAATAAATTTACAGATTACGATTATTTTAATCTACTGTTTTTGAAAAATTACAGTAGAGTGCATTGAAACTATATCCACATATGTAAGTCATAGAGAGAAAACATAAGGAAATAATTCATTAAACAGTACTGTATAATTAAAGCAGCTCTTTTAATCACTATTTTTAAGAACTGAATACAAAACATTGTTCACAACCCACTTCCTCTATCAGACAACTATATCTTTTTAATTTTCATAGATAATGAGGCTCAAACATCACATCACAGAGAATGCACAGGACCCAGGAAAAGCTTTCAAGGGTATAATCTTGTAAAATGTGGCAGTGAGATTTAGAATACAAATGTGATTGCAATACACATCTTACAACATTTAGTCTATTTTTTTCCCCAAAAAAGATTAAACTGATCTATGAGGCATGGAAAATATATCAAGTGCTTGCACTTTCTCCAGGACTATTAAATTTGTGTGTTGAATTTATCAGTGCAAAAGGGGCTTAATCCTTCTGAAATTCCAAGTTGATACAGCATTATTCATTTCCTGTCCTAAAAGGTTATGCAGGATTTCTATATGCTGTTGAAGTTGTCACATTTCCCCTAGAAATATTGTAGGTATTACCGTGTTTAACACATATGTTCAATTTTAATGAATAGTATTATCTACTATTTTAATACTATAGATGAAAGTATACCAAAAACAATAACTTAACAAATAACCTATTTATCTTTATTGTCAAGGAGCCTATTAAAACAAATATATTAAACTTTTTTTCATATAAAGCATCCTGGGCTGTTTTTATTTCAAGGTTTTTTGGTGTCTTTTTTTTTTTAATATGCCACAAAAATCTAAACAAGGGCAGATTTAGACTAGATATAAGGAAGAAATTTTTCACAATGAGGGCAGTGAAACACTGGCCCAGGTTGCCCAGAGAGGTGGTAGATGCCCCATCCCTGGAAACATTCAAGGTCAGGCTGGACGGGGCTCTGAGCAACCTGATCTAGTTGAAGATGTCCCTGCTTGCTACAGGGAGGTGGACTAGATGACCTTTAAATGTCCTTTCTGACCCAAACTATTCTACGATTCTATGATTGGCATGCAAAAAGCATGGGTAGCCTTTAGTGAATAAAGGAATCCTGTGTGCACCGACTAAAAAAAGAAAAAATATTTTGGACACAGAAGGGGAGATTGGTCAGGAGTACAGGAGTGAGAACATCATGGGGCATTAACCACGGAAGATAGAAAATGGGGGAAAAAATAAAAATCAAGAGACACGGAAATAAAGAGTACAGAAATTCTAAACCAGAAAAAATTAGGAGGAATTTCTTTATCCTACACATTTGTACCTGCTATTGCTATTGTATGTTCTATCTAAAAATCTTTGATTTTACTAATAGTATACTCTTCCTTCTAGCTCATTTCACCTACTTCCTCATCCATGCCACACGCCTAACCACCACCTGTAGAGATACCCAGGACTGAAGAAGGCTTAGATGCCTGATCTGGCTCCCTAGAAAACCGAGCGGCACGTAACACTGAAAGCCTTCACCAATACCTGGTGGAATTTTGGGAAGGCTGATGCTGCAGAACCAAATTTCAAAAGCTTAATTATTTTCCAAAAGCCCCCTCTCTCATGCAAAATGAATACAATCACCCACCCTTTACTTTTCCTTTTTTAAAGCTAAAAATTATTGTAAATATTTACAATTAGTTGAAATAAATTATCTGACCATGAAATTAAGCTGTTTACAGTCTTCATTTCAAAACCAATCTAAATAGCTAAGGTATATCCTATTTGTTTATGAGAAAGAAGGAAAATGTGTCTCTAATAGTTTATATGGCCCAAGTCTTGCATTTTTTGATTTTGTAACAGCAGCCATATGTGCTTTGAAGTTAAATGTTCCCACTTTGTTACTGGTTGTGGATTATATCCACTTAAACTGATCTGTAAACATTTAATGTCTCAACATTCATTCTTTTCATGCTGGTCTTCTGCAAAACTTCTTGTTCTCAAAATTATACCACATTAAAGAGGGAGTATCACAATAAAGAATGCCCAAAAATGAAAAAAGCTTGTATTTATGAGAAACATGCAAATTTAAAAATAATAAGCAAAAGGTCAAAGACAAACTAAAATACATATGTATGAAACTGAAGGACTGCCATGAGAACAACAGTAAATCACATGCTTTTTTAGGAGTATGAACCAAATAAATGTCATCATGAAAGACATCTTTATTTGAACTAGAATTGAACTCTAATTTGTAAATACCACTTCTTAACAAAAACGGCATTTTGAATTTCTTTGTAGAAGAGATTTTGGATTCTCCTGTTCTATTAGGCAGTCAGACAACAAACCATGTTTCAGTTGATGAGGACTGGCATGGTCACCTTCTAGTACTTGAGTCCTCATGCACTGGAGTTGGAAAGGCTTTGGATGATCAGATTCCCATTAGGGGATCCCCATTGCTTCACAGAAATAATCTACTTTATGAAAATATTATCCTATATTGAAAAACATATGACAGAAATCTGCGTAAGACACAGATTCCAAAACAAATGAGGTAAGTTAGCTATAATTTTTAACTTCAGTATTTTCAATTTCTATTTTTATTTATTTTAACACCACCTAAAGTGCTCAAAACTAAACATTTTTGAAGTATACAATTTTAAAGCTACCAAAGCCCGCAATGAGTGACATGTTGATAGGAGAAGTAAACCCAGCTGAAACTGTTTCACACAAAAGCAAGGACAGCACAAACAAAGCACAACTTTGAGCACTACGTACTTCCACAAGACTCATCCTCAGATCATCAACTGTATTTCACCCCTCAGGCTGAAAATAGCATACAGGCTCTACATCTGTCATAATCTAGAAACTTATCCAGAGGTTCTGCTCTTTTGACACAGTAAATACCACAACAATGACAACGTTCACGTTCTGTTCTCATGTCATCCCTTCCAGTGTCACACTTCATTCTTTGGAAGATGTTTATCAAGGTATAGTGATCTTCAATAACACACAACTGTAGCTCAGTACAGTTCAGGAACAGAGTCAGAAGGTATGTTGTATATATCAAGATTCAGAAAAAAAACCAAAACATTTGGATCAGCAGGCTTGTTTCACATTCCCCCTTAAGCTTCTTCAAAGACAAAATGGGATTGTTTTCAAAACAAGGGTGGAAAAGACACACATGAAAGAGTTAAGAACACTTAAGATTTCGAAATAGTAAACAACTAAACTGAACCTTGCCCTAAGTTCTTACTTTAATCTAACAAACGCAGCCAGCCAGCATGTTCCCTACAGAAAGAACTGCTGAGTAGCTTCAGGAAATTGGAGTAAGGACATTCTTATCTAACATCATAATTTGTAGGGAAGTTCACTTTAATGCTGCTTCTGCAGTCTTAGTGGAAGGACATTAAAGCACATGAAGACTGTTTGTCAGCATGGAAGTTGAATTTATTTTTTGAAGTCACACCACCGCTTGGAGTTCACTGTGGGAAAGTTTTTGCAGTGTTGCTGCCCTCCAACACAACATATACAGTAGGTATGTTTATAGTAAGCAGACAGACTAAGAAACCAAACAAAAGATAATCAAATGGTTTGTACAGAAATGGTTGAGCTTAACTAGACTGGAAAGACAAAGGCAGATGTGAGCCAAGTACACCAAACAGGCATAACATACACTGTTGCTGTAGCCACCTAAGAATTCTCTATAGTTGCATCTACTTTAACCCTGTGTTATATATAATTTCTCCAAGAAAGGAGAACGTAATGCAAGCCACTGATCACGGAATTTCTTTGGTCTAAGTCCTCTCAAACCTTTATTAGGCAATAACATTTCCCATGATAAATTCTTCTGGGCAAGACCTGAGTGTCCATGTTCTTTGTATTGAAGATCCCACGCAACTTCTGGAAAAAGCTAAGGAGTTAAATCTTGTCCTGGCTGAATTCCAATGGTGAAAAATTATGCTCTCCCTGATTAAAAAACCTTTGCTGTTTCCCCTTTGTATGCTTTCCACCTAAATGAAGTGCTGATGTTGCTTTGTCACACCTAAAACTGACTACAATTCAGTGACAAATAAAATTGTGTCAGAAGCATCATGAAAAAATATATATAGACAGGTCAGGTAAGAGTATGCAGGGATTTAATTCATTGTTGTTCCTTTACATAACTTGAATTTTATATCAAAACAATTGTGTTTATCTACAGTTTAAAAAGCTTGGCAAGCACAAGAGAAAAAAAAAGAAAAAAAAGCAAGTTTAATTCCATTATCCAGCAAGCTTCTTTTCCTGACATTACATACATTTCATAATATTTAATTATTCTTTGAGACATAACTAAGAGGCGGTAAGGTTGTCCCATTTGTGAAGTGTACTAAATTTGCAACATGTAGAAGTTTATTGACAGCTATTAATAAAATAGGATAGCTGACGGATTTTTATTACATTCTAAAGTAGCTAAAGAATGACAAAGTTCAGAGCAACAACAAGACCAAAGATTACTTGCATTTGTCCAGACTCTGGGCTCTGAAACTTCTCCCTTCAAATGGCAATACAAAAGGATTTCTTCTTTTCTGCATTGCAAAGCCAACTTCAAGGCATGAACACTTAATAAAGGACAGTTCCCACATTAGTTTAGATATGAGTCAATAAAGGCTAAGAAAAACACATTTTTATAATGTATTTAAAATTAGCTTATATTAGTATTCCATGTATAAAAGGCAAATTTACT